CCAAGCAAGTCGTATAATTTCACGAATTTATTCTGTAGAAAGTGTTTCCCACGAGGATCCACAACTCATGATTAATCCATCGTATGATGACGTAGAAGAAGACCAACCGATTGATAGTGCACACGACCTCGAAGAGATCGTGCTCGGTGGGTATGCCGTGAAGGAGATCGCGAAGAACCGGCTCATCAGCAAGGAAGCTCTTGTAGGATCGCTCGGCGAGTTTGATCTCAACTGTTTTGCTTTCCGCCACAGAACATTTTCGCCGAATAATTTTCGGATCCGTCCGTTCACCCTGAATCCATCTCTCAACCACGCGCAAGATGGAGTACATCTCGCCCATTAATCCCCTCGTCGACCGTTAAAGAAAAAACGATCGTCGTTTTCACGGAGTCGACCAACGACTGATCGACCATTCATTCTCAATGCTTCCAGATGGTATTTTGGCAAGCCGACTTGATTTCCCGCGCTATTGCAATTTCGGTTACCTAACTTGGTGTCATCATCGGTCAAAAGTGTTTTGTTGCGAAACTTGTGACTTGCAACTTGCAACGCATGCTTGCGGGCGACTAATCCTCTTTACGACATAATACTCTTTAAATTTTGCAAAATAGAATCTCACTCTAAAAAGTGAAAATTATCAATCTTGACAAAGAGCACAATTTTCAATCTTTAAGAATGAAATTTCACTCCTTAAAGTAAGATTCACTCTAAAAGTAGAGAGTGCGCATGCCATTAAAAAACTGTCATTATATATTATACATATAATCACATTCGGACTTTTGAGCAACTTTCTACACTTTCTAAAAAAAAAAAAGATATTATATTAACATTATTTCAGTTGAAAATAATTTTGTTAATTCAATAACATTATTAATGGAACAAATAAAATTTTATTGAAACAAGAACAACGTGTGTATTTGATTAATAGTGTTGTTGTGAATTAAAAAAAATTATTTTCAATTAAAATAACGCTGTTGATATAATAATTTTTTCTGTGCGTATGATTCAAAGAAATAAAATTATAGGTTCTCTATTATTTTGTAACTGCACGATTTATAATTTAGGTCTAAAGAAATCACATTTGTGTTTCAAAAAAACGAAAACTGCAATTATGATATTATGCAATTTTCGCCATATTGTCAAACAAAATTCGATGATTCAGTATTCCTCAATAAAATTCTTACTAAGAAAGATCGCAAGTTTTGCCTCGAAGAAGATGCTTCTCGTATCCTTATTTCTAGGAATAATTGCGAATCTTTCTCGAGACGAGCTCAGAGGCAAGCTCGGCAAGCATGGTCTGGCCGTTGACACCGTCGGTTTCTATAAATAAAAGGGCAACCTACTCTGCATTCTAGGATCTGAAAGCTACGAAAATATCGAGAATGTCGACTCAAGCGTAATGTCGCCCGAGATGTTTGAAGTAGTTAGTGTCAAAGATGGATCACGTCAAACTGTGTGTGAAGAATTTATTGACGCTTTATTCCCAAAATATATTATCTCATATATTTGTAGACATCATACCTTAAGTAATATGATAAATATTTTTATTTAAAAAACTTTATAAAAAGCATCTCTTTTTATACTTTTCGTAATTTTCAGATTTTACATTTCTTCGCCAACTGGAAAAAATAAAAAAGCACTATATTTGACACGGAAGTAATTATGCAATTAGCATATTAAAAAGAGCTCTATAGCAAATAAAGCTTTCTTACGTTTTCAGTTACTCAAAAAGTCTGCTATGGAAAAGTTATCTTAAGAAAATGTGTCGACAAAAGAACCAAAGCAATTTTGAGACAAAGATAAATGTACGAAGTCTTCTTCAACGAGAGAATCTTACAATGTATATGACTACTAACAAGATTTCAATGCACAAAAAAAACTTAATTAATATATAATAATATTAAATAATTATATTTTATAATGTTAGAAGCAAAATATCAAAACATTTTTTATTTTTATCTCGAATGAACAATATTCCGTTTACAATATTGTTAATTTAATAAAGCCTAAATATGTAAAACCAAGAATTTACAAGTGTCATAAAATAATATAAATAATAGTAAACAGATTGATTAATTCTAATTAAATTTGATTCAAAATAGTACATATATTTGATTATTAATTCATTATATCGTTGAATACTGAGTTGAATATACAAATTATTGATAGAGCGTAATTATCATAATAGATATTAATTAATATTAATATAGATTGCTTTTGCAAAATGCAACAATACTTTCTATTAATATTATCCCACATTATCTATTATAAAAAATAATCATCCTTTTAAGCTAATAAATAAGCGTTTAAAAGCGAACGTCCTTCTGAAAACAGAATTAAGACTTACCTACGTTAAGAATACTCGTCGAATGGCACTTTATTTTCTACACAACAAATTGCAAATTGCCGTCTACTAAAAGAGATCAAGATAAAAATTAGAAGAATACCCAAGCTGGAGGAAGTCTGTCAATAGTCACAAATTATATTACGAACATAATGCTATTACGACGTTTCCGAGAGAATTTATCGAGGAGAAGCATAGGTAAAGGACGCAGCTGCTGAGTTAATATACTTACTTTCCATTCGTTTCTTTGTGACAGCAGGCAATAAAGAGCGTGAATCGGATCTTCATTGCAGCACCTGCTTCTAATACGAGCCTCATGCCAGAAAGTTGTACAATTCCGAAGTTTTTATGTGTACTGTATGAAATAAAATGTATGAAAAAAGCCCATATAGTTTTAACAAACTATAGCAATATAATTTTATCATCTTTAATCAAATCTATATCTCCTAATTTCTAATTCAATTTCCAGCTACATATTAGTTATTACGGAATGTGATTGTCGGAAGTAGTTTCTGTAAAGAAATACATTTCTCTTTCGCGTATTTCTCCCAACGTGATAATAATTCCGCGGACGTGTTACTACACGTGTGCAAGTTCGCAGGAGAATCCAACATCGATTGAGTAACGATGTCGCGAATAATATCAAAATGTCTATCGCGACGAACAGACGGAGATCGCTATAACTCCGCTTCCATCTCATCGCTCGCATCACTTTTCATGATGGAAAGTGAGGTGATGGAAAACGGAGGTTGAGGAACTTGCTTCCTTGTTCGTCGCCCAGGTACACGAAGAGGCTGCAAACGAGGGAGAGTCGAGGGAAAATGCAGTGTGGGTATAACGCGAATAGAAACGAAGAGGTGAGCGAGAAAGGCAACGAAGGGATGAAGAGCGTGCGCGCGCATATGTGTGTGTATAGAGGGGGGGGGGAGGGGGCGTGTATGTGTGTTGTACGTCGAGAGGAGGGAGAGATGCAGAATGCCTGGCTGCTGCGGATCGATAGAACGGAGCTGCGTGATAGTCGGCTTTCTACACGAAGAACCGATAGATGCCGGGAATTGCTGTGAATGAGACACACAGTCTACCTCATGATGAAGGCAGCCGGAGGAAATTGCGAGTATGCAAGCTATTCACGATCCGACTTCCATCGCATAAACGTCAATGACCGATTCTTTAACGGGCTGCCGTGCTCTCACAAACACATATATTTTATGAGATATCACGAATGACGTCCAAAAATGAAATATCAAAAATTATTAGAAACAAGCGTAGTTTAATTCATTCACATTCAGTTCATAATAATGTTATATGAACTGTCTATGAAATCGTCATTTTATTTTCAGAATTTTTACATAAGTGATAAAATTAAAAAATGAGCATTTTGTTAATTATATCAGAGCCAGGGTTGGGCATATATTTCAAGTACTTTTATTTTAAATACAGCATTTGTAATATAATTGTATTTTGTATTTCAGTAGATTACATAAAAATATTTTATATTTTATATTTCAAATCGAAAGATTAAAAGTATTTTGTATTTCGTAATTTAAAATAATAATTGTCAGTCCTAGTCAATCTTAGAAGTTTGTATTGGAAATACAAAATACTTATATATGTTCCGCTGAAATACAAAATATAATTATATTACAAACACTCTGTTTAAAATAAAGGTATTTAAAATACATACCCAGCCCAAATCAGAACTTTAAAAACGCTAATTTCACAAAAATTTTAATTGTAATAATAATTTATCTGACATTAAATCAATAAAACTTTAATTTAAGAGATAAGATTTTTATAAATTTTATTTTGTTTTAATTTAAATTTTAATTCTAACACAATATTTATTTAAAATATATTTAAGACAGCTAATTCTATTATTTATATGATAAAAAACATTATATGATAAAAAATAACTATATTGATTTAATAACCTATAACTAAAATATCAACCAAATTTTGAGAGATATCGTATAAACTAATATTTTCAATATAAATAGTATCCGTGGAATATAATATATACACATACCCACGTATAATTTCCTTCTCAAAACGCTATTCATTAACCTCTCAGCAAGAATGATGATTTAATTAGAAATATGTCGGATAGCTTTATATGGAAAATCGATAGATGCCAGGAATCGTCGCAAATGACATATGCAAACTCCACGATAAATGCAGTCGAAGGAAATTGCACGTACGTGGTGCTTTCGATACATGACGTATTTGGAGCAAACTAATTCAAATAGTATTCGCTAATGAAATGTCCAGACATAACTCATTTTCCTGAATAGTTATTCACCAACAATATACACCGTTAATATTTCTTTTAATAAATTCTTTAAAAAGTTTATTTAAAAGATTTTTTCTAAATTCTAAGCTAATGCCACGTATATTTTAAATAAAAAATTTAAAAATAAAACCTATTCGAAATTATTATAAATTTTCAATCACATACACACAAAATTTATAAATGTTATCTGTCTACTTATCTAATAATCAGATATAAGTTGCAATAATATCATTAATATAGCTAATATAGCTCTTTGTAAGTTACAAATTTCATTTATCGAAAAAAGTAGCTTTTAAATAGCCTAGAACTTGGTTTTTTATAAGAAAATTTTATTAAAATATTATATAAAACGCTGAGTTCAATATGCAATTCGCATAAAGTAAGTTTTATTTAAATTGGAAAATCAAAACGAATTTTATTATCTTATTTCATTTTATCTTATCAATGTGTTTTTTTTTTAAAGGAACTAATATCAAAGCTCATAAATTTAATTTAAAAACGCGCAATTCGACATTATGGTTAAATAATAAATGTTCCAAACGTAATTTTAATCCCAGAAAATCATAATTGTTTATGTAATAGACTCAAATACTTAATTGCAAATTTAATATCATTTAAAAATCTAAATCCTATCCTGATTTCAATATATCGCTACATTACATTATAATAGTACATTACATTATAATAGTGCGTCGCAAATTGCAAATTTTTCCATTCTTATACATACGAGAGAGATCAATATATGATATGAGAAGACGTAAACGTTCCATCGAATACAATGATGTGCAATTTCACACGTAAAACGTCGCGTGTTTATGAATTCTACCGGGACTGAAATATAAACTGAAATCGTCGAACGCCCCGAGGTTTTATGCAAAAAATACGCGTAGTTAGTGGCATTGATGTAATACATCGACGAAATCGAGATTTCGCCGGTGAAACACTGGGAGAAAAAAGCAGTGTGCTTTTTATTGAAAAATCAATATGCACCACTCTCGCAATACTCGAGAAGAGATTTATCGCTTGATGGAGGAAGATTTTTTGGTAAAAAAAAAAACGCGATTTTGCGAAATATAAGTTAATTATCGTTAATTATTCACAAAAGAAAAACCGTCTATAATAGAAAAAAGTCATACCAAAGAATTTGCAAAGAGAAATAATTTCTATACTGCGTCAGTAAACAATTTTTAAAGAGTGTCCAACAATTGTATAATACTTTAAAAAGTATTCCAGAAATTAATTAGATCCAAAGTATTAATAAGAAAATATAGTTTTTAAATAGTGCAATTAATTGCTTGTCAAAATTCGCATGCACTTATATAAATACCGACCTGTCATCTAGCGTTGAGACTTATAACTTAAATATCAATTTTTACCATACAGCTGACTTTTATTTCTTTTTGTACAAAAATATCACATACACTACATATATATAGGAACATAAATAGATGGACTATAAAAAGTTAAGATTGGAGTGTTATGAAAATAAATTTAATTATCATTATTTATTATTATATATTTTGGTATATTAAATAAATTAACTGAAATGCGACTTGAAATATTTTTTATTCTTTTATATTGATTACTTTTGATATACACATATTTAAAAAAAGTTTGAAAATTATATTCCAATTTCCATTTACGTAATAGATATTAAAATAAATATTTAACTCTGAAAATAGGGACTCTGAAAATAAATCTCAAATTTCACTTAAAAAATATTTAGAAAAAAAAGAAAGAGGAAATCTAAACATTATTCTTCATGTTTTATAAA